GCCTCTCATAATAGAGGTAAGTGTCTTGGAGCCGGAGATGACTTGGAATCCCTTTGTTATACAATTGCATTTATGTATGATTCGAACAAGGCATATTGGGACACTGTCATCAAGGATCCATACCAGGCCATTCATATGAAAGAAAGAAAACTCACTTATCTGTTTGACGGGCTTCCACTAGTATTTCGAGACTTTTTTAACCATGTCTACGATCTTGACATCACGGTGACACCGGACTACGAATATTGGCAGAGCTTGTTCCTGGAGACTGCGGGAACTTGTTCTCGACCAAAAAAACACTTTCGGGAAACGTCACAAGGAAGTTCTAACCATAACCGACGTCGAATTGAGCAACAGGTCTGGTGAGAAGCAATTCTAACTGTCCTCACTGTCAATAGAATCCCTGTTATCATTGCTTTAGAAGTAAATTCTGCTTAAATTTCGTCTTAGAAATCTGCATACTAATGCAAATAAATAGATTACGTGTAAAATACTACACTTTCAGCACAATAAAGGATAATATGTTCTGGCAAATTTTGTCCATGACCATGAAACTTGATTATTGTTCTAATGTTATCACTGTCATTTCCAAAAGAATAAGTAATAAGCTTTCTATTTTCGACCAAAAATCTAACCAGTCAAACAGGTTTAACGGATATACCGTTAAAATTATTATATAGGATTACCCGTATATGGAAAATTATAATTATAATGGTTCGACTGAATTTGAAAAAGCAATACGTTTCTTGGAGTTAGGTTGCAATTGTGGTTGTTCGAAAATGATTCTGAGAGAAAAGTTTGCTGACTTACGTGAAGCATTTCAAGCCCTTTCTAGATCTGAGCAAGACATATTTTTAATGGCCCAACTGAAAGCAATGAATGGTGGAGAACTAACTGTCAGCCGACGTCTTAAAAAGAAAACGCGTACTAATAAGCGAACGTTTTACTACTGAGATCGCAATACGCCCCTCTGTCAAAAAACGTATCTCAATATGTTAGGAATTGGTCGCACTCACTTCGAAAACGTCAGAAATCACTTGGCGACGAATGGTATAATACCGCGTGTTCATGGTAACATAAAACGAGTGCCACAATGGAAAACAAAATTAACCATTGATATAGACGTTGCTACCGCCGTGAAGAATTTTCTCGAAAACTATGCTGAAATTCAAGGACTACCAAGTCCTGGTAGAAATGTTAATCGTATTACTCAATCGCTTAC